CAACTGCCCCCCCCCCCCCCCCTCATGATCTGCATTTGTTGCTGTATGAGGAATGGAAGGGAAGAGTTTTTTTCATCTTAAACAAATATTGCTTAAACTTGATTAATTTTCAAAATAAATTATACCAAAAGATAAATTTGTACAAACTCAATGCCATAGTCATCGAATTATCACCATAAACAAACTACTCCCTTCGTTCACAAAACAATTCCAGTTTCACTTCACTCTTCTCATGAAACATTTCTAGTTTCAATTTAAATATTCATTTCACCCCTACTAAGTACTACATTAATCTGCATATCACATCATATCTATTCCTCAATAAATATATCCATCATGTTCTTTTTTACAAGTTACATCCAAGAGTAATATTGGAAAGTCAACTACAAAGTATGCTCTCTTTAAATTTGTCAAAAGTCCAAATGGGAATTATTTTGTGAAATGTAGGGAGTATATGGTTATATAAATATTTAATGGAAAAAATCATGTCAATATTCCTAGAAATTTGAGATTTTACAAGAAATATCAATATTACATCATTATCACATGCGCTCCAAGAAATTCAACATTTCTACATTAATACTCCAAGAATTTTTTTAGTTTACATGGATCCTCCCGTTTTTGGGGCGTATATGTCTTCAATATACAATCTTGGAGTATTACTGTAAAAATGTTGAATTTCTGGCAGTGCTGATTAGAATTATGTAATCTTGGAGTATTCTTGTAAAATCTCAAATTCCTGGGAGTATCTGCATGATTTTTTTTCTAATTTAATATTGAAATGAAAAATAGTTCCTCCCTTCCAAAACTAACCTCCCAAACATAGCATTAGTAGTTGGTACCCTGCATATTTGAATGGCTATTTGCTTGTCTGTAGGCCAACTAATAACACAGACTATATGATCTGCTTTCCTGCTCATGGAGCCATTATTGGGGCATGGCTTGGTGCTTGGCCAATGCCCCTTGATTGGGAAAGGCCATGGCAGGTACATTTCCCCCTTGTCCCTTTTGTTCTCATTGCTTAATCTGTGAAACTAAACTTATCTCCTCTGTGATTTGTCAATGAGTAAGGGTCTGTTTGGTAGCCTTTATCAGCTGAATAAGCAGCTTTTATAGAGTCCGGTTCTTTTGACACCAAGGGCCGGTATCATAATATGAAGTTGGTTCATTTGAGAGCCCAATGGTGTTTCGTTTGACTCCGAAATGGTGCCTACCTCCTCACCACACCCCGCCCCCACCCCGCCCCCCATTTTGCCGATATGCTATAGTGAACACTATCGCATATTAGCAAAACGGAGGGGTTAGAACCCACTTCGAGATCGAATTGAGCAACGCATGGCCCTCAAATAAGACCCAATGTCATATTATGATCTTAGGTCTTAAATGGTCTACTTTAATGAAAGCTTACTCATTTTATGTTCCTAGTTACAGTCTTTGGTCTTCCTAGATCCTATTTTCGTGGGATTCTATTGGCATGTTGAAATTAGTCTTTGGTCTTGATGCCTTAAAATGTTTGTTTTTGTAGGAATGGCCAATTTGTGTAAGTTATGGATCTATTGCAGGGTATTTGGTGGGAATGGCTGTTTCCATGGGGTTTATCCTCTTCCATAACCACTGCCGCCACCATCTCAAAGGAGAATAATGTGCTCCTCCTCCTTCCAGGCTTCTGTCCGGCTGGTTTAATGGAACCTAGGACGGGGTTCATCCCTTTTTTTTAGAGTAACGTGCCCTTCACGGGGTTCTATTAGTGGTCCTTAACCTATAGGGCAAGCCAACGCTAATTTGAAAAAACGACCGCCAAGGAATTGTTACCCTTAACGTGTTGTTTTTTCTTCAAAACAATGTATGAGAGATGGTTTGGAGTTGTCTGAGCATAATTTAAGATGACTTGAATACTTTGGAAGCATTGTTTAGAGCTAGTTTTCTGGGTTTGGATGGTATGAGTTGACCTGAGTTATGAAATTTGAGAAAAATAATACAGATTCTGAAATATGAAATAAAATTGTTTGGAGAGATTTGAAATTATGATTTAATTAATGACAGATGAGGTGACAGGCATCAAAGATGGTTGACGGTGACAATGATAGCCCGTGGCGAGGGTAGTCGACTATTGGTGGAGATATCAAACTCCCAATCTTCCATATTGATATCTTCCAAACGCTAAAAAAGAGTTCAAATATAGAAAGATGTCGAAATTCATATCATCTGCTTTTAGATCATTGGTAATTTTGAAAATCCCCGATAAAGTAGTTTATCATGGTTTTTTGCCATAATTGACCAAAATGCCATCCGAACCAAGACTCAAAGCTAGAGTATTTTTTGAAACTCAAACTCTTCCATTCATTAAAAATATTGTAATACATCGTCTCGAGGTTTAGACTGTCATTCATAGCACCCATTAACCGCCAATCTAGCTAGGGTGTGTGTAATCATACTGTTAATTGACTTAATTCTAGAGATATTACAAAAACCAATATAACTGAAAAATTGTGATAGATTTTTGCAATCATCTTCCAAAGCACTCAAGTACGATCGAGCTCCTCTCACATCATTTTTCATCGCATGAACTACATGAGAATACTCTGAGAAAATAATAACCACCTGAATATTCTTCCCTTTGAGCTAAAAAAGAGCCTCTTTTACAACCATCGTCTCCACATACCTCGGGTCTAATGGGCATGAAACCATTTTGTTAAAAGCTCCAACAAACGAGCCAGCCTCATCAAAAAGTGCCGTTGCTACCGCAGAGCAGTTAGTTTGATCGAACACGGAGTATAATTTATATGAATTAGATAAAATAATATTATAGGTCAAATATTGAAAACGGTTAACTGAAAAAGTCAAAACAGGAAAAATACTCCGGAACAGAGGTAGTAATACCAAAATCATTAAAAAAAACTTTCTCCGTCCGAGTATGTTAGTCAAGTTTGACTTTTTCGAGTCAAAATGTACAAACTTTAATAATGAATTACTCTCAATTAGCATGCATATTTATAAAATAAAATAAAACTTTAAACGTTTTCAACAAGATAAGTCTAATGAAATAATTCTTATACTAATATGTATTATTATTTTTATTTAATTGAGTTTAAAAATATATCCAGTTTGACTTGAAAAAATTAAATTGAACAAGTACACTGAAATGGAGTTAGTAACAATATTTTAACCTTATTTTTGAACATAAAGACAATATTTCAATTTTATTTTTGATGATTTCTTATATTCTTATTCGATCACTTTTATCTTGATTTAAAAATTTTACGAGAAATTTTATGAGATAGAAGGGTTAAAAAGCACTTGTGAACGGGCCCACAATTGTGGAAGGGGACCCGAGTTGCCACGTCAGAGTGAAGCTCAATTCTCCGGATGCGCCCTGTGGATGCCACTTGTCCACTGAGACCAAATCGGGCCCACCACCGAACCGTTTAAAACTCGCCACGGAGAGCCCAAAAGCGCCAAAATAAGCAACCGCGTTCCACCGCCGCGCTTCCTCCCGCCGATCTCTCTCTCCCGGAATCTCCGGCGGTACATTCCGAGCATCGCTGGCGGTGCTGCTCCAAAACCACTCACAAACCCGTCAGATTGCCTCTTTCTCTTCAAGTTGCCGTACGTATATCTATGCCGTGGTTAACTGGCGCGAGCTCGTAACCATTCACCACTTCTTGTTTGCGGTGGCCTGAGTTGATTACTCCGATTTGTGCGTTTCATCTTGCTTAAGGTGTGGAGTCTCGTTTCCAGTCCGGAGTTTCTTTTTCCGGTTCAGTTGTAACTACTTAATCTGTAATGGCGTCTAGGGTTTGTATAGGCAGAAAGTTGTGTGTCTCCGAGTTCAGAATCTGGTTTGTTTTGTTCCAATTGATTATTTGGATGATTGCAAATTTGTTGATTTTCTTGATATATGACTGTATGAATCCTTTCCCTTTCAATGCGTTTCGTGTACAATACCTGAATTTCCTACTCGATTTTGCACTGTTTAAATTACATTGGATTGCAGTCGTTTGCATATCATAAAGTTTCAATGAATCATAAATGTTTGCATATCATAGTTTCAATGAACTTCATGTTAAAATTCTTGAATCTTGAACCTTGGTGTGTCCGCTCTGAAATCAGAAAAATATTTTGTTTCTAAATGATATTCTTTTTTTTTGAAGCATTCTAAATGATATTCTTGATTTATCTCCATGTAGTTCCTTGTATCATCCATTCTTCCCAATATATATCAATGCAGTCTTAACACTATGTTTGGTTCAAGGATTTTGGAAGGAAAAGAAAAGAAAATGATTTTCTCTCATTTTCCTCACCAAAATGGAAGGAATTTGATTTTCTCTCCTCTTAATATATTTTGTCTTCTCATTTCATTTTCCTTCTATTTTTCTTTTCTTTTCCTCTTTATCCAAACAAGAAAAACTATTTTCCATCTCATTTTCTTTTCTTTTCCATTTCAAATTCCTTGAACCAAACATAGTGTAAGTTCTCTTAGTTTCCTTCTCTGTTTGGCTTGCCCTCAGGTTGGATCTAGTCCATAGGATTCTACAAACTTAATGGTATGGAGCATCCACCGGCCTCTAATCCTTCACAAGTGCATGATGATCCTGAAGTCACAATTAGTCCCCATTCTTTTCCTGTAACCCCTCTTGCAAATGTTAATGACCCATTTCAGTCGCACACCTTCATGCCACAGTTTAATGCCTTTCACATGGAGGATGGAATGAGATTCAATGGCCTTCATGATCTACATATTGCTAGAAATTCAGTCAATACAGGAGCAATGCACCCTGCAACAAATGATTGTAATATGCATTTTATGGATAATTTGATGAACCAAGGTGTCTCATATGGTGGTTTTCACACCCCTGCTGTTGACATGAATTTTTTGCAAAGAGGAGGAAATGTTGCAACGGACTTGGCAAAGTCTAATAGTTTGAATACATCGAACACAGCCATATGTCCTAATATAGGGAATATGTTGCCTATGCTTGGGCATGCTCAATATAGAGGAGTGGAAACTAATAATGTTTTCCAGGTCAGTGATTCTCAGTCTTGCACTCCAGGAAGAATGGATGGGAGTTTCCTGACACTTGGAACTGGAGGTAAAATAGAGAAGAGATTAAGAAACAATTACAATGCTGGAGAGATGACCACTAAATTAGAAGGGCCATCACTCTCTCAACACAAAATTTCTCCTTCACATATTAGAAGAAATTCGTCAAGTCCAAATCCTTTCCCTTTCCCAATGAATGCAATAATTGCTAACCAGCATCATTCTTCTGGAAAGAACTGTGGAAATTCTGGTGTAGCTGTTAACACTAATAAGTCAATGTTTATGCCAACGGGTATTGCTGAAGGAGTTTCAGGTGGTAGAGGTCTGCCATCATTGGCTTTTTGCGACACTTTTTCCTCCCATCTAGGTTCTACTAAGATGTCCAATCTAGCACTGGAGTCTTCCAACCCTGCATTCTCCCTGCCTAATCTAATGACTGCCCCCCTACAAAGCTACTCAAACAGTTTAAAGAGCATGCCTGCAGAACCACCAATGTATCCCTGTATTCCCAAGGTTGGAGGAGGATTGATCAATCAAAATCATTTTGGTGAGTTGAACTGTCTCTGCAAATTTACATCAAGCTGTGTGGTCTTATACGTATTACAGTTATACTTTTGGATTAACAGCTTTAGAATTGCTATTTTTCTATGCTACTCTTTAGTGGGAACTGTGTTTGTTTCATTTGGTTTGGTTTGGTTTGTATGCTTCACGCTAAATTTTTCCTTATGTAGCATGCAATGACAAACCTAGCATTTCTTTCAGGGGATCAGAGTATCATTTTGCAATTTATATAATGCATATGCTCATAGATCCTATCATGTTGCCTCTGAAATCATGTGTTTGCTTGATTTGGTGACTTTATATATTCATGTATTTTGGAAATTAACAACATTTTCCATTGTTTTATTTCATTGATTTCAGCTACCATCTGCAATGCAACTTTTCTACACCACTTTTTGCATACCTTTCTATACTCTTTTAGGGGCCACACCACTCTTTGCATACCTTTCTATACTCTTTAGGAGCCAAAATGAATTGAATCTAAATTATGTACCCTGAGTATTTCAGAAACTTCATTTGACATGAGTTTTGCATTATAGTTTGTGTGAGTGTGTCGTGTGTCCTGATACTGTTTTCATATCTCAGATAGGGAGCAAGAGGAATAGAATGACAATTGTTGACATGAGCACTTATGGGATGACAAAACAAAAACAACAAACCCAGTAATAAGGGATGACAAAACAATAAGAAAATTTTCAGTTGAAGGATTAAAGAGTACTTTGTTAATATGTTATCTCTAGTTTTGTACTCTTTTATTTGTTTGTCTTGTTCACACAAAACCTTGTCCAGTTTCAGGGGCTGGCGATACTCAAACCGGTGAAGATGCCATGTTGCTTTCAAGTGTGCAGCCAGTTGGTGAGTCATGCTATTTTTTTTTTGTTGGAATATCATTACAAGTTACAGGTTACAAGTTTTAGTGCAACACTGTACTTCCGTCCCATAAAATTCCTTACACTTTCCTTTTTGGATGTCTCAAAAATACCTCACACTTTATTCCATACTTTGGTAATGAATTTGTGGCTTCCAACAATTCTCTCTCCTCTAAACAAATTCTAACAATACACTTTTTACTTTTCAACAACTTTCTTAAACTCCGTGAATTTAAAGTGTCAAGGATTTTTATGAGGTGGAAGGAGTGTTACTTTCAGTGAAACTGTCAGTGATGTACAATTTGTATGCAATTTTAGATGTCGTTTTGATTATATCAAATATTTATGCACTTAGAATACTAGTTAAACTACTAGAACACATGGATCTCTGAAGCTCTTTTGTACCTAGCTGGCCTAATAATCTTTTTCTGTAACTCTCTATCAACTAATTGCATTTTGTGATTGATAATGGATTCTCAAAGTAAATAACATTGAATGAACAACACAATTCTGCAGTTTTTCAGTCTTCTGGTGGACAATTTACTTCTCCGAGCGCTGCTGGGAATGGCCAATTTTCACAAAGAATTGCAGTTAATAATCTTGAAAACAATGTTATGCACCCTGCCGTTGGAAACCAATTTCCTAAGAGATTGGGACTACAGCTTAATGGTAACGGATTATCTTGTGCTGGTCAGGAACATCTTTTACACAAGGAAGCAGCACATCCCCCACAAACTGGTAACCACAATAAGAATGAAAAACCAAACTGGCGGACATGACCATAGCTATTTTCTGTTTATCTTTCCTATTTTATTGTTATGAGATGGTGCAAGAGCAAGAGTTTTTGAAGGAAAAAATGTTTAATTCACTGCCGATATTTTGGTTTGGGGATAAACCTTTTGCTGCACCTGTTAATTTAGCCAACACTATTGGTCACATTTGACAGGTTAATCAAATGAATTGAGTAATTAAAGTTTACCCAATTTTTTTTTATTTCCTTACGTTACATTCCATTGTGGTTTATTAATCCTTTCTTATTATCAGCAAATTCATGAGTCTTTGACCTTTGTTAGTTTCTCATTATCATCAAGTTCAACATTTTGAGCAAAAGTTTCAGCCAATTCAGCTCATCAAATTCAGCCAATCTTAGTCTACCAAATGGGCTATTAGTTACACATTGTCTGCCATTTCTTTCAGGTTTGCATCAGGATCAAAGCAGAAGACCTGCTCGTTTTCCAACTGTGCCTGCTAGCGGTATTCCACTGCTAACATTTTTCATTCATGCTACTTACATGATTCATTTGGCTCTTCTTTAACCTGTTAATTGTATTTTGAATCTGGTCTGGTCTTTTATGTTATATACTCGGTATTATACTACTCCTGTTCCCGAAAAAATATTTGTTTGACCAATGCATATCTTTTTATATGGGGAAGATACAACTGCGACATATCATGAATTATCGATTTTTCAAAATTTAGTTGTTTTGAATAAATTTTACATATGTAACTTGTTTCTAACTTCTGTGAAATTTTTGGTCAATTAAATGAAGGGAGAATGTAAATAATGTTCTTCTATCCACAAGTCATCCCTTGAGATTCTTTAGTAGTTCCATTTAGTTTCAATAAAGTGCATTACTGAAACCAAACCAAACAACCCCTATACATCCCAAAGAACTCCATACAACACACATTATTCAATGAAATAATGAATGATTTTTCTTCCTGGCAATCTGGCATATTGACACACTTCTTTTTCTTTGAATGGTAAACAAACAAGGACCTTCCCATGATAGTGTTGTACCCATACATATAGACAAGAAGCTTTCTGAACCTGATTTTGTTCCAGGTACACTTTGACTTTGTTTTTCCCAATCAATGCAAATGTGTATCTTTCATGCCTTTTCTTTACCTGAATGTTTATTTAGTGAGAACCATTTACTACATTACAGGTGGAGGAATGCCTACTTCAAAGGATAATCCATTCCCTCAGGTTTCAAACATCCGTGGCCAACCATCGTTTAAAAGAAAATCACGTGAACCCGCCCCGTCTCATCCGCGTATGAAGATAAGCCACCGTCCTTCGGCTCTCCCAGTACTGATCCCTCGGCCTCCCACTCTCACATCCTCTTCCCCTCAGCCATTGCCTCATCTGCAGGTGCCTCGGCGTCCACCTCTCACACCCTCTCCCACTCCTCATCTGAAGTGGCAAGGTAACTCCCACCAGTTTCTTTTGCATTCTTGTTTTATTAACCATATATTGCATCTACTTAGCTGGTTTTCGGTTAGATTTGTCGGTCATATATTCGGATGAGAAATTTACTTAAATAGCACTAAAACATAATGATTTTCCCTAAATAGCACCACATGTGTTTTTCTTCCCAATGTGGCACTTTTAGTCATTATTCAAGCAAATATTCATCATCACTGGACATTATGGACATTATTAAGTGATATTTAAGGAATAAAACAATTTAAGTGCTATTTAGAGAAATAACCTAAGTTTTAGTGCTATTTAGTGCAAATACTTTTATTCGGATTTCAAAGTATAAATCTGTTTTTTTTGTTCAACCATACTATAGTCTCTACGTGACCCCACCCCACCCGAGTAGCTTACATCGTTAGTTTCTAAATCTGCAGGCCCGGGTGGACCTCCGAAACCCACAGGACATAAGTGCCTCTTGTGCAAGAGGGATTTAGCGCTAAGCCCAGACGGGCCCGCCCACCAGCCACCACCAATTCTTCCAGCTGTCGCCGTTCTCCCGTGTGGCCACGTGTTCCATGATCATTGCTTGCATCTTATCACACCGGAAGACCAATCTAATGATCCTCCATGCATTCCTTGTGTCATTGGTGAAACATGATGATCATATTTTGATAGCAGATTAGGAGGGTATGGTATGGGTATGGTATGGCATAACTTTTTGAACTTGTGTACATATATAAGATGCAAAAGAGGTGGTGGACTGAGAGGCTAACCCCAATTTGTAAAAAATTAGAGTGATATCAACCAATTGCTGAGAAAATTGCAATTGAACATTTTCACTGTGATCCACTTTTGGTTTTTGGTTCACAAGTTAAACCTAATGTTACTCTAAATTTGCCACATATTAAAAAAATGCAAATTCATTCTATCAAATTTATATAGGCCCCGTTTGGCATCAGCGTTAGAGATTAGTGTTAGCATTTTAACAAGGCTATCTGATGATAGCTTTTAGCATTAGCGTTTTGAAAATTAATCTACACCATTAAAATTATATCTAAGACGCTAACGTTATCAATGATGTGTATATTTGCCATGTTATGGTTGGTTTGATCAACTTTAGATGTTCGACTAGTCAATGGAGATCAATAGCATCTCTATTGATGGAGGGATTCCTGTCCATACTCCTCATATCACATAATAAAGTTCTTTAATTTTTTTTTGTCTATTCCAAAAAAAAAAAAAAATTAGTTTTCACTTTTGGAAAAAATTTTGTGGCTTCGAATGTTTCTCTCTTCTGCTGTATAAATCTGAGTCTCACCCCTCCCCTCTATTCTACCGAAGACGAGAAACAAAGTTCTCTTTCTCTTTACTTTTCTCTTTTAAATGCATAGTTTTTTTTCGTAATTTTTGTGCTAAGTTAGAAGTAAAATGGTTTTACAGGAAGATGAAAGTAATATTTTAATTATACACAAAAGTCAAGTTCATTTTAGTTCAAAATATGACTAAGATAAATTATTTCAGGACTTAAAGATATATAGACGAAATTTTTTAGGTGAAAGTAAAAGAAATTCTTCACCAATCTCTCTTTACATTTTTCCTCTCATTCACAATATTATTTTGTGGGTAATTTTTTTTAATGGTGAGAAATCACTTCCAAAAGCGTTTTCTTTCCTCTCACTCACTCATCTACCCCACCATCTCATCTCATGAGAAAAATTTTCACACAAAAAGAAGAAACTCTCACATGGAAAAGTATGGAAATGGGCAAAACTTTACCATTGGGATCCAAAAATTACTCACTGGTGAAAAACTTTCTTACCATTCAAAATGATCTTAGTTTGCTTCACTCAAATCCTTCACTACTTTTCATATACTTTATCACACCTGCCTCAAGAGTCAAGACCAATAATCATTCAAAGCATTATATTGTCTATAAAATTCCTACTTTTCAATTTGGGTAAAATTCGTTCATTATTCATGTACTCCGTATTTATCACATATTACTAACGACGGGGTGTTGACTGAATATCGAGCTCGTCTGGTCAGTCTCCAAAATATTGAAATCCATAATTTGTTGAATGAGTTTTTAAATCTATGTAATGCTTTTAAAAGAGTCATAGCCACACCATGAGCATCTTGCCATCTTGGAGCCATCTTTAAATTAATTTGACATTTTAAATTCGTAAAGTTTAAGAGCAATACTCTCCTCGTCTCTTTTGAATCTTCTCATGTGACTTTTCACTTTCGAGTCAATCTTTTTAATCCCAAAATCAACTTATTTAGGGGGGAGGGGGGTTCAATAAACGGGGGTGGGGGTGGCTTTGGGTTGGGGCCAGGGGGCTAACCAAGGAGTTAGGGGCAAGTTTTCTAACATGACATCATAGGATACTCAATTAGATCGGTATGCTATTATCACACCCAAAATGGGTATAAGAAAACCCCACTGCAAATATATATTACTTCTTCCGTTCCAAAAAATTTTACACATTTTGACTAAAGTGGAAATTAAGGGAGGGATAATTTTGTGTTAACTTTCCAAAAATAACCTTGATTTGATGTGTAAAAGTAGGATGTGATGTGTAGATTATAAGAAAAAAGGTATGATGTGATAAGTAGGGTTTGAAAAAGTAAGGGGTAAAAGTAGTTTTTTAATAGAAATGGGTAGGAGATTGTGGGACACAATTTTTTTGAAAGGTGTAAATCTTTTTGGGATGGAGGGAGTATAAAATATAAAATTTTAAAACTATGTTTTAAAATTAAATTATTGATATTAAATTTATATCATAATTCAATATACTTTTTGTACCAAAATTTTAAAAAAATTGACATTAAAAATCAAACTGGAAGGATTCAAAAGAGACTGATGGGAGTATTGCAAAGTACTAAAAAATGTTTAATACGAAATAAAAGGTATAATGTTGAATCATTTGAAAAAGAAAGAAAGAAATTTGCTTATTGGTTTATTTCTTCACAATGAAATTAGAGAAATAAAAAAAATTAATTTGTAGACATCTAAAATATAAAAAAATGCAAAATTAATTTTTAGGACTATTCTTAGGATGAAGGGAATTGTCCCAAGAATAGATGATTACTAGATTAAGGGAATATCCAAGACATCCGATTGGGATAGCATTTTTAGGATAAAGAATCGCCCCACTTGTAAAGGAACCTATCTCTATAGTCTTCTTAGAATCAACCAAACAAATACTTGAAAAAAAGGGTAAATTTGACAACGAGTATAATTTTAATCTTGAAGTGACGTGTCGTTAATACGTGAAAAAACTTTATGCTACGCATGATCGTCTTTCATCGTTGTCGTCTTACATTTGTGGGCGTCTTTAGCCGTGGGGCATCCCTAGAGACAAAAATAGACCCAATAGTTAATAGATCCTACTCCCATTTTTCCCATAACCAGCAAAGATCAAGAAAATTATAGAGCCAAAAAAAGAAGCTTTTCACCAATCATCATCCATGCTCTTATTAACTATTGTCTCTCTGAACCCAGAAGAAGCATTAGCATGTGTTTATCCTAATCACAAGTGTAGTCACCACTTATAATTATGGTTGTGCCCCCACACCCCATTTACATCAACCACAAAAAATGTTCAACCACTAATGTCATTCTTCTGAGGACTTTGACACCACAAATGTAAAGAAAAAGGAGGACAGATATCATCTGGGAGAAACAAAATCAATTCCTAGATTAGCACACACATGTGTCATAATAAAGTCACTAAAAAGGGCTATATTCACAAGCACAAACAAGTCCCCTGTCTCTTACTCACCTAGCTCGAGGATAATTAGAACCTTCAGCAACGTTGAAGAAGAACTGGGGCATAGACGCAACTCTCGGCAAACCATGCAACAGATCCCCGTCCGAGTCCTTTCGAGTCAATGAAGACCGGGTATGGTCTTCACCTTCCTCTGGTTTACTATCTCCCATTGTTGCTGTACTGTCATTGTGAAGATGGAGAGTGTCCCCTGCAGGAGGGTCCTTCTGAAGAAGGGAGCAGAGAGAGTTGACCCGAGATATGAGAGAGTTCTCGTCCGATGAGGGTGGCTGTGTGTCGCTGAACAAAAACTGTTTCATCTCTTCGAGGATTTCCAAGCTGTGGCGTTCCTCATTCGAGAAGGACGCGGGGTTTTGCTCTGAAGCCCGTTGTTCGAGATGGGTCACGAGATCACTCATTGACATGGATGGGTGTAGCCCCGGGACCCCGAAGCTTAGTCCCGCACATTCTTCGACTCCTCCACTTTTGATATCATCAATTGCCCGCGTATCCGTCACTATGAATAGGGGGGATGAAAAGTTAGTGGTAAACAAATGAAGAAAAAGATGAAAATGTCAAAGAACCAAATCAGGCAAATGCTTGAGCTTGTGGTTGTAGGTCCATGAAAGGTTTATACTCTACCATATCCCGTCCCATCATATGCATACAAACATTAATTTTTTGAAACTGGGTGGCAATGAGGTTCGAACTCGTGACATCTAAGTCAACAAGGCCTTGATATAATGTCAAGGAACCAAATTTTAAGATTGTAGGCCTAGTAAAGGTATTATACTCTAAGAGAAAAAACCTGAACATGGAGAAGGAGCTTCGTGTCGAAAAGATTCCAAAGACTGATGGAAAGGATCTTGTTCGCTCCGTGAGGAAGCCCCTGAAGGTGAATTGGTGTCACATAAATCCGTGAGGAATGTGGGATTTTCAGACCCAGTGGTGGTCACACTCTCTCCTGGGTCTTCAAATATTGACATTGAAGGCCGTTTAGATTCAAAATAAGGGGAATCCAGTTGTATCTCTGCTTGTTGGCTTAGAACGTTCAGACGGGAATCACATTGAATCAGCTTTTCAAAATGTCTTCCTAACAGGCCTTGTGGACACTGCAGAAAGTGGCGCCTGTAATGCAGGGGGGAAAAAGTCCTTATACGGAAAACAAAAAAACACGAGAAACAAAAACAGTTCAGATTTGAAAATGATCTCTTCTAATAGTCTTAGTGACCATTTGGAGACTATTTCTGCTTATCACACATTTCTTACGCAACTCTAACTTAGTTGACTGCACAATCTGCACCACTTTGGCTGAATTAGTCAAAATGATGAAGATAAAACATCATGTAGAAAAATATTTCATGCTTTATTGAGGGAACAAAAATGAAAACGGTAGAATGACAACAGTGAACTATTTTGAACTCATAATTCTTTGCACATAATATAGTGGCCATCTCAATTACAACCAACTAAAGACTCCAATCATAGCCAAACTAGATGGGTATGAAAGAAAAAATATGTATTCCAAAACTAGTTACCTGCATACGCTAGCCTGCCCACCGGTAAAATCTGAAGTCGCTTGCCAAAGAGTGTGTTTCCTCGGCTGCGGGTTCGTCTCCCTAAAGAAAAGTGGTTGCCTCGCCAACTGCAATAGAGAAAATTTATAAAAACTAATACATGCAATAGAACACTATCAAGCAGAACCATACAATGAAATAATGATGTTAAAGTACCACAACATCAAAAGTTCCAGGCCCATCGTCTGGGTAAACTGCCTTTAACCACATAATGTCAGACCATTGGATTTCAATCTTATTCTTGAGACCTCCATCAAGAACCTCCCACACCAGTTTATGCTTAGCAAAGTAACACTTTGCCACTAAATCCCCTTCGTACCTTGACTTATACTGCATATATAGTTATGGATTTACAATAAGGTTAAGGCTAAAATTGAGTTAAAAGAGGACCAATATTTCAGAATAAAAACATGGGTTTGATCTCAGTTCACAAATTATATGTGGGTTTGAGTGTTTGGCATGAAAACCAAAACCACTGGTACACTATGTATAGTAATAAATAAATGAACTATTTAA